ACCAAAAAAGTACGCCTGAGAATTGTTTCGTCAACCGACGTTACATAAAAATTTTTGGATGCCCCGGAGGGATAAAAGCCACTATCAAGAAATTCGATAGGCCTAAAATCTTCTCTTCTTTCAATTTTTCCTAATAGTTTAGTTAGTCTGGATAATCGTGTTTAAAAAAAAGCATCATCTGAATTCATTGGAGTATTTTAGTTCGTGCACTTAGAAAAAAAAACTATCGTTACAAAGTAAAGTCAATTGAAAATTATTTTTTTTTGCTATTATCGCAAACTGCTCTATTCGAGAAATTTTTTCCTTATCGTATGCCAAATTTTGAATTTTTTTTTTAGTGAATTCCGGATTAATAAAAAAACGATTGCCGAAAAATAAAAGGAAAGCTGGCGCCAGGGCTCTTCAAAACCACCCTGACGGCCTTAGCAAAGAAATATACGAAAAATATAGATTCTCTTACGGCAAGTTATCACAAACGTCGCCTGTATTTTCCGAGCCATTAGCACCCATATCACCTCCGAAAACAACTGCAGTAGCCCCAAAAATGATTGAAGAAAAATTAGAATATATTCGGGAAAGGATTTGCACCCATGGTAATAATCCCGAATATTGCTCGTCCTGTGTCAGTGACTTCTCCGACAACTTCAAAATACCGCGTAAGAACGTGCAGAAGGACTGTTAGCTGAAAGAAGTGAATTTAAACACAACACCCATCACTGACATCGAAAAATTATTATTTAGCAAAAATAAGAAGGATCGGAAGAAATATATTCAAATTCAGCGCACCAAGTACTTAATAAAAAATTTACCAGCCGGATTAAAAGCTCCTCCTACTACCTCACTTCGAGCGAAACCTGTAGAATCAAAAAACCCCGGAAAAACAGCAACTTCGTTGGAACAACAAATTTTAGATACGGAAAAGGAAATACAGAAGACTCGAGAAGAAATTAAGAGAATGAAAAAAGAGTTTAACTTGTAAAATTTCTACATATAAAAGGGAGAACGAATTATTGGCAATAATATCTATAAATTGAATTTTAACCTATATTTTATTCTTTGTATTTTAGAAGTTATTGTTTTCAAATGATTCTGTTAGTTAGAACACCAGAAATTTCGGTTAACAATGCCCTACTTGAAGAAATAACGGTAGAAGTCCATGAAGTGGCAGATAAACAAATTGAGATAATTGATAACGTTAATAATATTTTGACTGATAGATTACCTATACAGATATACTAGATAGGTTACCGGCAAGGTTATGTAACATTGACGTTCCAACGTTGACTTCTTGGATCGCGAGAAGATATTTGCCCGTATTGTGTGATCCTACTACTGGCCAGGCATGTACAATGACGTCAATGAATATGTCAAAAGGCACCAGGTATGTCAGTAATGTAAAGTAGAACAGCAACTAACATGTGGATTGATTAAAGACCAAGCTTTATCAGGCAGGTAGTAGCAAACGATATCACTGAACCATATCCCCGTAGTCCAGGAGGACACAAGCTCGTATCAGTGTTCATCGATATGTTTACGCGATTGTTAGAATGCGTCTCTATAGTAGTGCAAATGGTAAAACGATCGCAAAAGAACTGTGGGAACAAGTGATTATGCGCTTTGGTACTACTAGAGTTTTCATATCTGATAATGGTACAGAATTCGAAAACTAAGTTGAAGATGGTTACTTAAAAGTACAAGAAATAAGTCGAATGTTCACACCGACTTATACTTTACAGACCAAGTCTATGGAGAGGATCAATTGTACGTTGAAGACAATAATCACTTCGTATCTCCGAAAGAACTATTAGAAATAGGACCAATTCCTACCAAAACTTGCATTTGTACTGAACACCGACATACATAGCTCTACGGGACCAGTACTGCGATGTTCTACTATGGTAGGCAGCCAGAAGCTCCTAAAACTCTAAGAAGAGAAAGCGATGAACTGGCGGTTAAGGACGAGGATCTGTAAATATTGAGGCGATGGGATGAGCATATGAAACACAATCGATCCCTCTTGCCAGAAGTTTAGGAGACGGCCTCTAAAGAGACACTACGCCAAGCGGTGTATTTCAGCTCTAAGCGGAGGGCGTCAGGATTTAAAGAAGGTTATTGAGTGTGGAAGAAGAATCGAATCCTATCCAACGCGATACAAGATGTGTCAGCGAAATTAGTACCCAACTTCGTAGCTTCTTACTGAGTCTAAAAATATTAGGTGCAAACTTCTATCGACTCGATAACCAACAGGAGGAAATAAAGGAACTGGTACACGCTAAGGACTTTAAGTCATACTATAGTTCAGATGACTTGACTATAGAGGACGCAGATAAGACTCAAGAGGTAAAAGCTACATTACCCTGACCGTCGATGAAGTATACAGTGCCGGTCAGCCACTTTTACCCCCCCACGGGCAAAATCAGTCTAACTTCAAAGTTTTATATCTCTGGTAGAAATTAACGTACAGAGACGCGCGTGGGTGCGTTTGAAAGGTCTTTCGGAGAGCTTTCAAATGATATGACTCACGGTTGCCATCGATTGTTTTTTTAAATTTTGCAACAATTATGCAAAATTGAAAATTCTGAAATTTTTTTATTATTTTTGACAATTAGCCAATTTTGGAAAAAAAATCGTACGAAAATTTGAAGTACACCATTTTTTAGCTATTACCAAGCCCTATCTGAATCACTCATCAAAAATTTATTTTCGTCAAATATGACGCGCGCACGGGCATTTTTTCCTGGAAGTGACAGTTTTTTTCAACATTTTTTATCTCCGTCAAATTGTAACAATCGAAAAAAATTTATAGGAGAAAAAATGTTTGTTTTTTCACGTAGAATACTGCAATAATTTTTTTTTCGGTTTTTCGAAAAATTTTTTTTTTCGGTTTAAATTATTTTGCAAGGTCGAAAAAAAAAAGATTTTTTTTTTATGTAATTTACGATACTTGTTATGTAGTATTATTGAATGGGTGGAACAAAATTTTTTTTTGTGGTTTCTCATCTTTTTAGCGTACCTACTGTGAGAAAAAAAAATTGAAAAAAACCGAAAAAAAAAAATTTTTCGAAAAACCGAAAAAAAAATTATTGCAGTATTCTACGTGAAAAAACAAACATTTTTTCTCCTATAAAATTTTTTTCGATTGTTACAATTTGACGGAGATAAAAAATGTTGAAAAAAACTGTCACTTCCAGGAAAAAATGCCCGTGCGCGCGTCATATTTGACGAAAATAAATTTTTGAAGAGTGATTCAGATAGGGCTTGGTAATAGCTAAAAAATGGTGTACTTCAAATTTTCGTACGATTTTTTTTCCAAAATTGGCTAATTGTCAAAAATAATAAAAAAATTTCAGAATTTTCAATTTTGCATAATTGTTGCAAAATTTAAAAAAACAATCGATGGCAACCGTGAGTCATATCATTTGAAAGCTCTTCGAAAGATCTTTCAAACGCACCCACGCTCGTCTCTGTACGTTAATTTCTACCAGAGATATAAAACTTTGAAGTTAGACTGATTTTGCCCGTGGGGGGGGGGGGGGGGGGTAAAAGTGGCTGACCGGCACTGTAGGTAATGAGCGATCGACCTAATGCGAGTAAGTCACCGCATAGGCAAGTAAAGTACGTTGAGAGCAAGAATCGCGTATCGGTAGGGAATCATTAGGAACCAATTTAAACTATTCGCGCCATTTATCGCGAATCGATCCAAAACTAAGGACGGAGGAGTGCTTGCAAGAGCATTAGAAGAGCGCAGATTGAAGTCCAGAAAGACCAATGAATTGTTTCAAAAGATGGTGACCTCGATTCTGACCGTAAGTAACAGTAAACACTTTCTCGGAAGGCCTCGCAAGAACATCAAAACAGCTCAAAATAGAGCTCAGGTAACCTTACCACTCTTCTCCCCCCGCACGTGATAACTAGATACCTTTAGATATGTGAGCAAAGAATGAAGGTCAAAGGAACTATTGAGTAAAGGACGACGGGCACACCTGAGTCCTACCTGATAATTCTCTCGAGAAGTTACGGAGCGCAACCGTATATTTCCGTAGACGATACGACGAGAAACGATTTGCTTTGTGATATAGATAAGTTGGCCAGCATTCGCGTTCATTATATGCGTGAATAGTTTGATCCTTTTTATTATTGTAGAGAGACGCGATAATGAGCGGACGATTTTACGAGAGGTTGTCGATCAGAGAGCATGGCTACAGTGTAAGTGACCTAAAATGGCGGCGCTCATATTCGTAAGATATTTTTCCTAGCGTAGGCCGACATTTTTGCACGTAGACATGGCAATTAGGTTGGAGGATAAATCAGCCTTAGAGCGACTACCATAAAAATATGAAAGCTCGACATCATTGCATAAGTCATCTAGGGTAATAATATTGCGAATTATAATTAAATTCAAAAATTTTCGCTACAATTGACAAATATTATTTGGAAATATCCAAATAAACAAAAGTAAATAAAACTATACTCTTCGAAAATAAATTAAAGATATTATTGTTATAATAAGCTATCATTAATTAATGTGAAAGAGGTTGAGGTGAGAAGTTCAAAGAGATGCTAAGCTTCTGTGTGTGTGCATGAGTGTGTGTGTCCCGCTCAATAACCTAATTGAGTTATTAGATTGAATATAATTTTTTAAATATTACTAGATTTTTTGAATTACAAATTAATTTAATGTTATCGCAATCATTAATAATAAGATTAAAGTTGATGGTATTGGTATCATAGCGTTTGGTATTAGAATTTTAGTGATTGGGAATTTTATCGCAGTAACTGATATTAGAATAAGTTATGATAACCATTTATACTTGATAGTGATTACATAAAAGAAATAAAGTTAAAATAATTTTAGGTAATTTATGTGAAATGCGTAATATACTACTTTTGCTTGATTAAAAAATTATATATATATTTCTTTTATAAAATAATTTATCGTAGGAAACCTTTTACTTTTTAAAGTACAAGGTATTTATCATGTCAAAATTTTGTCGAACGAAAATTTATTGTTAGTAAATCAAATATTTATTATTTAAGTAATAATATATAATATAAAATGATAATTACAAGTTATTGTACTACTGTAACATAATTTATAATTTTTAGGTACCACAGTAATGAACATTAGAATAATGCTCAAAATTATACATAAAAACCTTTCGATAGTCACAGCGTAGACTATCGGTACTTACATTGGCATAGCCTTGAAGGTTCTGTACGAGCTACCAGGTTGCTATCTATATTGCTCTTACCCTACAATCTCCGTAAAAACCCACACTAAGACACACACAACCACACTATATATATATATATATATATATATATATATATATATATATATATATATCATTCACCTCTTTCTTGACCAGGAACATTTAAGTTACTACTAGATGCTTGATATGTAGCACCATAACTATATTCTTGATTTGCTAATTCTTGAAGTCTGTTTGAACTTAGTGCTCTGGGCATGGCATTACTTGGTACGCCATGCGGAGCTAAGTGAGTTACTTCTGCAACTTGATGTGGATCTTCTGCTTGTGGCAAATCTGACACAAATCCAGTATCTTTTCGATAAAAATTTATAAATATAAATGCTGCTAATACTATCAAACAAATTAATCCATAAATACGAAATGTTAATGTGGTACCTGAAAAAATGTATAAAAAATAATTCATAGTTTGTAGATTGTTGGATATATACAAAAGTAGATAAAATAACTATGACATTCAGAAATAAGATTTACAAAATAACAAAGATCTTATGATCTTATGTTGAATGAGTTGTATTTATTAGTGATTGTTGTAATGATGGAAATATCTTACTAACTCATTTTCAATTCAAAATATCTGTATTTAAAGTAATATTTTAAACAAAACAACAATTAATTAACATTTCTTAAGCAACATTATTTTATATTTTAAAGAGATTTTAGTAAGCTAATTATCCAAATCCGAATACCAGAACTAGCTGCAAATAATTTCAAATCTTATAGTAAAAAATTCTGACGACTTATATAAAATCCTATAATTATAAATGAAATATCGACGCAAACACACAAACACATACACGCACATTTAATTTGGGAATATAAGAGATCCTCTCCAGAGCTTAATATTGTTTCCAAGGTGTCTTACAGTGGCTATTCAATACCGAGAGTCAATCTAATCTGGTATTCTTTAGTCGTTGAATATATCTCCTGTCATTTCTTAATGCCTTAATTTTGGTTTCATTAAAAATAAATTTTTTTTCCGTTTTTGAATTTTCCAAAGTTTATGAATCTCAGTAAATTCCACTCTTGCTATTTTATTTTTTACACTAATTAGTGACTTTTCAACTCCATTCACCTTAAAAGTCCAACTTTCATTTGTGAAAAAGTTTTCCACACCTAGTTCATATGCTATTATTTTAGTACCTTTTTTACATTGTGGCGAGGAATTTTGGGGGATTTAAGCCGTGCACGCGAAATACTTCCACCACAATGCTTAGTAAATCGTTTCCCCGACTAGGTTATAAGGGCGTCAGACCGCCGTTCCTTTGTTACGGCGATCGTCGGGAATAGGATCAGATATCGGCGTTTAGATCTGTTTATCCGCTGTGCAACTGCGCAGAGCAGGCAAGGAACTTGTTTTACACCGATAACTTTTCCAGACCGCTCCAATGGTTTGCTCTCCGTTCTCCTAACGTTCTTGGGGTACCGGCAGTTTGAGAAGGAACTCCTTTTCTCAGGTTGAGGGTTGAGCGTTTGAAATATATGGCGCGTGCAATTACTAAACATTCGGAACTATTTGAAGAAATTCTCGCTGCAAACCGTCCGCGGCTGAAAATAAAGTCAGCATGCAGGAGGGGGATTGTTCAGCAAGATAAAAATATCGGATACCAAGTATACTTCACTTTCCTTTATTCACTGGTTGGAGTACATGTTGGTCGAAATGGCGGATGGTCAGCGCGGTTGATTACGACAGTTTATACGTGGCGGCAACGGATTCACACGTCCCGGCGAATCAAACCTGCGACGAATTATGCGATCACCTAACTCTCGACAGCGAGCAACACTTTACCGAGCTATCCAAATCCTAAATTCTTTTACGTTCGAGTTAATCGGATAATGGTGGTTAGTTAGCGCAATTCAGTTAGGATTACTTCGTTCGCACGGCAACGGATTCACACATCACAGTGGAATTAATAACGCGGAAAATTGCGCTCGGCAACCTGATTTTTACTCCACAAGCGGTACTTTACCTACTTACTTCTTACAAGTTTAATGAGTTTCTCTCGCTTCAAATTGCTCGGTTTTCTAGCTCGTAGAAAAGATCTACTTACAGCTGAGTACACTCCCAGTGGCAAAATGGATGAGCAACGGCTCTCCATGATCAAAAATCTTTTACTTTTCCTCTTTCCGTAGGTGTCGTACGCGCTACTACATATAATTTGATTTTTCATAATAATTTTCATCTTTTTCTTTTTTTATTTATTGTTAAATTAAAATGTATCATTCAACGAATTCCTTACAGAAATTATAATCATCGAAAAAGTGTTTGAAATATAATGTAACGATCTTTTACATCAACCACACCGTATTATAGCAACATTTTTATATGCTTCTACTTCGCAATGTATATTGCACGAATCTCCAAAACTAAAATCAAGAGGGTTATCTGTTTTAACTGGTTTTTCAGCAATGTAGCCGCTTTTATACCAAGCGTATTTAAAAATATTGGTAGATCTTGGTGAAGAAAGATGGTTATGGATAAGAGACTGCATTTTTATGATGTTATTTCTTAAATGTAGATTCATTTCATAGTGCATGAAAATTACTTGATCTGATAAATGTCGAACGAAGTTTTTCCAGATATGAAATCCATAAACATCGAGTGGTTGGATGTTCCCTGTCGTTCCTGTGGGAATTTTTTTTATATTAACAATTTTGTTCGTCGGCATCGTTTTCTTTACAGCTTTATCGCAATGTCCACTCCAAGAGTCGAGTAAAAGTACAGATTGAGGTCCAACATTTGGGTAAAAAACTTCTTTCAATCAAATTTTAAAATGATCTAAAATAAAAAAATGTCAAAATTGGTTACTTTATTTATTTATTTTTCTAGATACTATTCTATGAGCTTTTTTAAATTTTAGTAACCAATTTTGAGAAGCCTTAATTATTACATCTTCATGGCCAACAATTTTTTGAGCTGCAATGCCCATTTCTGTATATCTCAATCATGCACTATCGTACCAGCTGCAATAGTGGCTTTTAAATTATCAAACATGTATTGGCAAATTTGCGCAATTTTTTCTCCGTAAGTTCCATTTTTATTAATTGTTTTCGCCCAACGTTTAAGTTGACTTATAGATGAAACTTTTTTGAATTTATGTTGTACAGTATCCAGTTTTTAGTTTTTGTTTTTTCCGCTCCTCCAAAATTCTACGGCTCTTTGTTTATAATCAAATGTGATTTCTTCATCATCATTTGTGCACTGATTTGTTGGTGCAAAATCAGGATCAGGAAAGTGATGTTAAACTTCATCTTCGATTATTTTAGCATCAGTATCTTTAGAATCTTCATAAAAATCTAACGTCTCTTCAACAATCATATCAATATCATTAAACTCATACACGGCATCTATTAATATTTCTTTCAACTTTTCTGACAATTTCATTTCTTTGAAATTAATCTCGCTATCTGGTATTTCTAAACTTAGAAAATATGCTAATAATAAATTGACTACGTTGAAAGGATTTATCTTCATGTTTTAATCTAAAAGAAAATCAAGATATAAATACTCTTTTTTGCAGTTGAATAATTTTACAAAAGACAAAATAAAACCTAGTCTATAGATAGAATTCGATCATATGTTTTTAACAGTTATATTTCACATGTTTACAAATCGAAATATTTGAATAAAATTATATATGAAAAGTGACATAAATACTTACGTAGTATACAAAAACTTTTCTTCTTGTTATATACTATATTGTCGTGTTCGGAAAATTTGTATGTAAATATAGAAATAAGGTTATTTATAAATCCAGCACTATAAAAAAACTTTAACTTTTTAGATACTGGACTTTACTTCAACTACTATGAATAATGAAATATGTATCGGATGTCTTACTATCGTAAGGGGCGTAGATTTGATATAACTTATATACTTCGAGCCATTGATAAGACATAATTGTAAATAAGATAAAGTGTATAGCAAAGTAAAGTACCAACAAAAAGTAAACTAAACCACAAGTGAAAATTGAAAAAAGTAAACAGTTTAGAAGTATAGGAATTGAGACTATTATAACTATTTATAACTATTAATATAATCAATTATTTGTTATAATTTCTTTTCTCATTGATAAATTCTAAATGATTAAGAAAGGAATAATAAATATATTAAACTTCCACTTTTGAAATTAATAATTTTTAACTGTTATTACTTGTTATTTTTCTTTATTACGAATTAACTTTACCTTTAAAAAATAATAACTATTATTATTACTCTTTTATACACAGCTATATGTAATACAATGCAAATAATATTTAATAAAACTGATACTATAACTGTTATTATTAATTTCGAAAAAATAAAATAGTTAATAATTATTTATAATTTATTTTAGTCTCAAACCTTATATTTATAAGCCGTTATTAATTATTTTTATCTTTTTTGTATTTCTTGAATAACATTCATGTTGTATAACAATATGTCCCAAGTATTATAAATTTTATGTAATAATTATTATTTTCTTTTCATTATAAATACAAAAAAGATAAAAATAGTATATTTTTGTTTATTCTAATGCAATGACATAAAAAAATTTTGACATTTTTTTATTTTAGATCATTTTAAAATTTGATTGAAAGAAGTTTTTTACCCAAATGTTGGACCTCAATCTGTACTTTTACTCGACTCTTGGAGTGGACATTGCGATAAAGCTGTAAGGAAAACGATGCCGACGAACAAAATTGTTAATATAAAAAAAATTCCCACAGGAACGACAGGGAACATCCAACCACTCGATGTTTATGGATTTCGTATCTGGAAAAACTTCGTTCGACATTTATCAGATCAAGTAATTTTCATGCACTATGAAATGAATCTACATTTAAGAAATAACATCATAAAAATGCAGTCTCTTATCCATAACCATCTTTCTTCACCAAGATCTACCAATATTTTTAAATACGCTTGGTATAAAAGCGGCTACATTGCTGAAAAATCAGTTAAAACAGATAACCCTCTTGATTTTAGTTTTGGAGATTCGTGCAATATATATTGCGAAGTAGAAGCATATAAAAATGTTGCTATAATACGGTGTGGTTGATGTAAAAGATCGTTACATTATGTTTCAAACACTTTTTCGATGATTATAATTTCTGTAAGGAATTCGTTGAATGATACATTTTAATTTAACAAAAAATAAAAAAAGAAAAAGATGAAAATTATTATGAACAATCAAAATATATGTAGTAGCGCGTACGACACCTACGGAAAGAGGAAAAGTAAAAGATTTTTGATCATGGAGAGCCGTTGCTCATCCATTTTGCCACTGGGAGTGTACTCAGCTGCAAGTAGATCTTTTCTACGAGCTAGAAAACCGAGCAATTTGAAGCGAGAGAAACTCATTAAACTTGTAAGAAGTAAGTAGGTAAAGTACCGC